ATTGATGATCAAAGTTGACCAGAATACCGCTTTATGAACCTTTACTTCATAGTTAATATCATTGTGAAGAATGGCTGCAAATTTCTTCAATATATCCACGACAAGTGTGATACGAGTTTTGAAGAAGCATCATATGAAGCCATACAAAGTAATGCCAGTGAATTATTTTTTTCCTCAAGATCATCCAAATCGTTTACGATTTTGTTATGAAATAATTGAAAGATATAATCGCGATGAAAATTTTACTAAGAATATTTTATTCACGGATGAGTGTTCATTTTCAGCTTCAGGAATGTTTAATAGGAAAAATGAGCATAGCTGGTCTCATCTTCATTGATGGCATGCAGTCTTACGGGGCAAAAATATTTGGATATGTTGCAAGGTGATATTGAAAACTCGCTTGATGAAGCAATCCCTTTGAATAGACGAAACCAATTGGTATGGCAGCAGGATGGTGCACCTCCTCACAATGGAATTTAAGTCACGAACTACCTCAATGAAAGTTATGACACTTGGATTGGAATGCGAGGACCGATATTTCACCCGCCCCGTAGCCCAGACCTCTTGTGATTTTTTCCTGTGGGGAGCGCTGAAAGACAAGATCTATAAACATGATATTCCGGATACTGACTTCTTGAAAAATGAAATAACAGAAGAAATTCAATTATTGAATAATGATCCAATATTATTTGAAAGGGTTCGCCAAAATTTTATAGCAAGGTGCCAACTCTGCATTGACCAGAATGGCGGAATTTTTGAATATTTGTTGTAGATAGCTCTCTCTCTAATGTGCATTCACAATCTCATATAGTTCATTCAATAAATATTGTTTATCTGATGGCATGTCATAATGACAACGTTATATGTCACTCAATTTTGATGACATAAGGAAGCTCATTATGGTACTAAGTACCATAGTGAAATTCTATAAGGAAAACATGTAATGGTTTGATCAAAAAAGTTTATTCAAAATGCATAACTATATGTACAAAACTATTTATTATAAATGGTAAAAGAACAATTACTACAATTTGTAATATTAATATAATGGCAAAGCACAGCTCACTTACCTACTAATATTTGAAACTACACAATACTTACTCCTTTAAAAATAGTTGTCATTGTGACATATGTCGAAAATGCAGTTTTTAATTTTTCGAAAATGTATTGATATAAATGCCATCAGATAAAATTTTGTATGTAATACGAATCATAAACAATCATTATGGCACACGCCGTGTTATCGGACTCGGCTACGCATCGCCCGATAACATTCACGACTTGTACCATAATGATCGTCTTTATGATCCTTATTACATAAATAACTATTATAAAGATTCATTCAAGTTTTGTTGTCAAGAACTCTTGATGCTATTTCGACATCTACGCATGCGTTAATTACTGTTATAGTGTGATACCAAATCTATCCACGTAATGACTTTTCCATGGAATATTTTTTAAAAGCCCACTATGTTCAAATATGATATAAAGTGAGAATTCATGAAGCGGTATTTTGATGTCAACTTTGATCATCAATAGCTCTATTATTCTTCATCCGAATATGCAACTCATATATGTTTTTGGAATCAGAAAAAAAAGCTCTATCGACATGGCTTAAAATATATAGGGTGTTCCGTTGAAAAAATCAAAGTTGATGTTCTTTCTGGAAAAACGAATGACCCTGTATATGAAACAACTTCACGAAATAAAAGTTTGAGTCGTTTCAAACAACTTTTTCATTCAACATTTTTTCATATCTCCGAAAACAAAAGAGTTAAGGGGGGGTTCCATTTTAAGAGGTACATAATATAATACATGATACGATTGTAAATAATAATAGTAGATTGTTTTATTAGGATCAAAAGTGACACTTTGTTTGACAAGCGAATTTTGCATTTGCGAGGCGGAGCGTTTAGCGAAGCCGAACGAAAGCAAAATTTGCGAGTCGAACAAAGTCACTTTTGATCCGAATGAAACATGCTATTTTTTCTGCAACCGAAACAATTAACTCAAATAATCATGTGAAGTAACCACCAATGCCGTGCCATATGTATGCAATGCAACAAATATTATTGACAAATAATCCATGTGGTGAGACTATTCCACCTGCACTAACAGCAGGTTAGGTTTTCTAGGATGTTCGAATTGTAGTTTCAATATAAATACAACCACAGAGTGACATATTTGTGTATGGACCAGGTGATCTAATGACAAATACCGCGCCAGTGCCAGCTATAGGAACAAGACGTGGAAAATGTTAGGTTAGTGAGCATATCAACAATGATAATAGTGATTATTTATTCCTCTCCATACTACACTGTGTTTGACTTGATAATCAAATGAAGTTAAACAATATCGTTGTTTGAGACAAAAAAACTATTGCTTGCCGTGATTATTCAAAAACAAGTTATCCATCCCAAGAATAACGAATGAAATACAGATCAAGCAAGTATTTGACTCTTGAAGGCTTCCCTGATCAAAACAAAAATACTCGACTGAGATGTATATAATTCCAATACTTAACTATAATAGGGCGTATTTATATACCTCCAGCATGGGTATGAAATGCCCAATCTGCTGAAATCGGAAACAAATCAGGTATGCGTCTCAACCCAAATAACCAACCGTCACAATGTTGTTTATTCTTGATGACGCCAAGTAGATCCTTTTTAGTTCCTAGGAGCTAAAGTTCAACTTTAGCTCCTAGGAACTAAAATTCAACTTTAGCTCCTAGGAACCAAATATGTTGCCTAGCAACATACCTATTTTTGTGTCAGTAATAGAAACGTCAATTTAAGAGCTAATTTTGGTATCAAAATGGACGACTTTTGTGTCGGTTGCAGAAAAAATATTTTTTCTGCAAACTCTATGATTAATAATAGTTTTTGAACGTAGATAGGTATAGTAGGTGAATTAATAATAATAAGTACCTAGATCTAATTGTTGAATTGTTGACAAACGAAGTCTCTCCGACTTTCAACGCTGTTATCTATAAATAAAATGGGTATATAGGTATATATTTTCATTATCTTCTAGTGCTACCTATATATAAAGTGATCCTTTCGACAATGATGGAGGAATAGTAAAAGTCAATGCACCCCCTAACAACACAGGGACATCCTAGGTACGTCCCTTTTATGTCCCAACGTGTACTGTCGGTACAAGGACATGATTGGGACATCCCTAGGATGTCCTGCTCAGTATTTTCCAGGGGATGTCCCGACTGGGACATCCCTGAGTTGTCCCATTCATGTCCCTGATGTATATCTTGAAATCTATTTGCTATTTGTATCAGAATTGATATGTTACAACAAAATATTGAAAATGCATATTTGTGATCTCACTGGGAAAATCCAGTCTTTATATTTTCTATACCCATCCAATTCAGTACAGTACATTCAGCCCAATTTTGGTACTTTTGAAATTTATTGATTAGATATTTACTGATGAGTGGTGCGCAGTAGTGCGCACTCCGTGTATATAATTGTCTCTCTGCTATATGCGTCAAACGAGGACAGATACCCTAATAACAACACAGGGATTTCCTAGGTACGTCCCTTTTTTGTCCCGCGGTACAAGGACATGATTGGGACATCCAGGGGATGTCCTGCAGTGGTTGTCCAGTGGACATCCCGCCCGGTACATCCCTAGGTTATCCTATTCGTGTCCCTGGAGTATCTGGATATCCATTCACATCAGAGTCATTGAATTTCATCAAACTATTGAGTTGCATTTTTTCGAAATTGTTTGTTTCTCTTCCGGAAAATGATTGTAATGAAAATAAAGAATAAAGTCTCAGAACTTCTTAAGAAATTACCATTTTTCGCAGACAGATATCGTACATGCATAATGCCCCTCATTTTTAAACACCCAAGAATGATAATAATTATACCCAATTCCTAATAAAGTTGTATTTATTCAGGTTTCTGTAGTTAAGTCCTGTTTATAAATCTGTTTAGTACATAAATCTTCAGGAGGCATGATAGCCAATGGAGCAAGGTGCGTGCATGATAAGCCAAAGGTCCCGGGTTCAATCCCTACTCGACCTGCAACTTTTTTCTTTTGTCGAAAGGATGTCCCTGGGATATCCTTGGGACGTCCTAGGGATATCCCTTCATCGTACTTGGTACATCCCAGGGACGTACCAGAAGGACATCCCTTGGATGCCTTTTTTAGCGGCCAGCGGATGTCCCTGGGACATCCATAGTATGTACGTTGTCCCGACAAAGGACATCCCTGGGATGTCCTAGTATAAAATCAGGGACGTCCATGGAAAGTCCCTAGGATGTACTGGTGTTGTTAGGGCCTATTTCGTTCTTCAACATTTCGTTGTAAAAAATATTAAGTACAGTGATTTTGAAATGTTCCTGAAAAATGTTTCAATTATATATTAACATTTGACAGGTAATTAATCTTGAAATATTTTATAAATCTTTCATGTTTACTGGGAAAAGTGTCCCCTTTCTATGAACTGAGACTATTCTTGGGATGAATTGCATATTTTCGAGGAATATTCTGAAGATAACATGCATACGAATATTTTTGTGCTATCTGATGGGTCTCCAGTCTACACCACTGGTAATCTAGAAGAAACGGCTCATAAAATGATATGAAACACAAAAATATATAGTCACTGTAATAATGACATCAAATTCATGTTGACACCGTCATGAAGAATGTAATATTTTTATCTTGAAATGATATATCAGTTATTCCACTGAATATTCAACAGCACACCTCAGGTGAAATAACTCAGGAAACTCAATTTTCTATGAGGTGTCATCTATCAATCAACAATAAAACTGCAAACTCTAGCAAGGCGATTTCGACTATTTTGTGAAGTTTCTGCTAAACAAAATATCATTATTGCAATCTCTACTCAGAGGTTGGAATATCCTAAATTGCAGTTATACGCCACTGGTATAATTCAATTTAAATTTGGCGCGCGATTTAGTAGCCATTTTGAAAATGTAAACGTCAGTTCACCAGTGCTGTCGAGTGTCGACGAGGTGGCTTGGGTTGTGGTTGTGGCGAAAATACAATGGAGTGGAATCAGCAGAATTAATAGTGTATTTAAGTTTCAAGCAAAGTAGAAATGGAGTCTCTTACTATAAATCAGATTTGTCGGACTTGTAAGTGTGTGGCTCCCCACATGCGATCTCTTTTTGAGGGATATGAAAATCCACATCAAAGTCCCCGTATTGACGAGATGCTAATGGCTTGTGCCTCTGTTCAGGTAAATATTGAGAACACCTACAACAATGAATGTGTTGCTAAATAAACTCTAACGAGTCTAAACATGGATTTCTCATCAATAGGTGACATGTGGAGACGGTTTGCCGACACTAATGTGTCAAATGTGTGTGGAACAACTAAAAAATGCCTATCTCTTCAAGCGGCAGGCCGAAAAAATAGATGTAAGCTTAAGGGAATATGCAAAAACGATCAAAGTAAATGAAATCAAAGAGGAGCTCCAGAATTCGGAGTTTATGGGTAAGTATTCAGGAATTCAGGAACATAGCTATGAACTTGAAACTTCTTATTGATTATTTTGTACACCAAAAGTTTGAAAAGTACATGCCTAACTACCTAATCACAAACTACCAATATTGAAAATTTGCTATATATTTGGTGATATCAACACCAATGACTTGGTAGTTGAGAAGTGCATTAAAATTATCCTTGAATGATGTGACATTTTTAATTATTATTTCTAGCATTTGTTCAAAATTGGATATTATCTTCTCATCTCTGTTGTCAGGTCATGAACATAATATAATATGGGAATAATACTTATCATGTATTTGGATTGGCTCAGTCTGAAAGACATATGTATATACCTACCATTGCACCTACTAATTTCAATTATAGGACTTATTGAGCATAATAATTATAGTATGCCATCTGTCTTTCAGTGTAGATTACAAATAACAATACATTTTCCACCACTAGCTGTAGAATCTACCATTATTTATTCCTTTTAGAGGTGTAAAGTGTGTTTTCACTACCATGGTAGTTTTCATCATTTTATGAACCATTAGTCAATAATGACATAGCCACCTCTATTATAATTAACTGGAATTCACTGTTCAATGGTACTGGTATCTAGTAAGTTTTTATCAATAACAACTTGACATATTATGCTTTCATATTGACAATAGGTCCATATTTCAGTTTCACAGAGCAATGATGATTGAAATATATTGCATGTGGTGAAAAACATTTAATATACACCTTGGTAGTAATAGTAAAGAATATCATTACCATGGGACCTTATACCCCTTAGCTGAAACCTCAGGATATAATCTTGGTTCCTGGATAATAATGATATTCTTTACTACCTTGGTGTATAGAACTATTATATTGATATTCTACATGATATCATGCTGACTTGACAATTTCAATCAATTCAAGGCATACTTACAATTGCATCCTCTGTACTCATGTCTCTTCAAAAACCAAATTGAGAGTTATTGATAATGTTAAAAAAGGTTAGAAAGTTTGATAGGCGACTATAGAATTAAATCATGAACATGCCTTCACATGCCTATTTGAAACTGAGAATAATCATATTCTGTCAAGTATTCTCTTTATGCTTAATATCAGGCCTTGCATTTACAGACTTATCAAATTTGATTGGAAAATTATTGGGTAATTTTGCACTTATCATGTGATCGGATTTTTTCGAAAAATTTTTTTGGTACTTATGTATTTTTGTCTGAAAAACATGAATTTGATAATGAAAATGTAGACAAACCATTATTTATTAAGATATTTCACTATAAAGTTACAAATTTCACCATCTTTTCCGCCTGTCTTCTGGATCACATTTAGAACAATTTGCCCTTCTTTTTTCATAATTGGACAATTTATATATATCACACAATGTTGGACACATTTTTTTTATGATATGAGTCAACTAGAAATATGATTTTCTTGTGATTTATCCATGTTTAGTGAAAAGAAAGAAGAATATCATTTGAAATAATGGCGTGTGTAATGTCAAAGCAATCTATTGACATTTGACATCTCGTATTTGGATTGCATATGGATTAAATGGCCGTCATCTGGTATGCTTGCTCACTAAATAGGAAAAACTCACCATAAAAATCATATTTCCTGTTGAATTTTCTATCTTAAAATGTGTCAGTGAAGTACATCATGAATATATAAAGTGTCCAATGACAAAATAATAAGAGCAAGTACCTGTAAATGCATCCAACACAAGGGGGAAAAGAAGGCAAAATTTCGAACTGTTTCTTGAAATATCTGGATAAATAGTGGTTTGTTCACATTTTCATTATCAAATTCATAAGTACCAAAAAAAATTTTCAAAAAAAACCCATTGCATGATAAGTGCAAAATTACCAATTATTGAATAGAAGGCATGATTAAATTTCAATTTTTGTAATTCTCATTTAGATTGTCATTTATCAATTAATTTTTCTATCAATGGTATCCTTGATTTTGCCTTTATCATTACTCACCAGATTTCATGACAAAGTGGACACCCCTAGGGACACCCTAACAAAACTAGAATAAAAATATATTTTTTTCTGTGAGGAAAAAAGTTTGATATCTCATCTCTGTTGACAGGTTACAAAATGTTCCCATGGGAAGAAAGTGACTACTTTTTTTCCAGATATAATATATCACATATATACCGGGTGTCCCAGTATACCTGTTCCAATAGCCATTTTGAAAGATGAAAATTTGAAAATTACAGGATCTACTACAATTCTAATTTGAAATTATTTTTGAAGTCAAAATCAAGATTACAAAAATATCATAGCCTACTGCAATTCCTTCAATTTGAAATTTCAATTGTCGTTTTCTCCATCAAATCAAATTTAAAATACAAAGTGTGGAATAGTAATTTTGAGTAGAAATCAAAAATTGCAAAAAATATACAGGGTGCTATTTGAAATAAAAAAGTTAGTTACTACCAGTCAAACCGGAAGTGACTTTCAATTGTTGTTTTTCACAGTTGAAGCTTCCTTGAAAGAATTGGAGATCATGAAATTTTCAAATTTTTATTTTTCCAAATGGCTGAGATAATTCATTGGAACAGGTATACTGGGACACCCGGTATATATACCCTGTTGATGGCTTTTGTTCTGCTATAGTTGCGAAAAATAAGCCAATAACACCATCTCCCAGAAAGAACTGCAAGTCCTTTTATTTTCCATTTGACTTTGTGGTTATGTAAATTACTAAACAACCACTAAATTCACAATTTTTAAAAATCAAATCACAGAATTAGACTAATAGATATTTGATTACTTCAAAAGAATGATAAAGATACCTGCAAAAAGAGGCCTGCAATGCAGGTGTCATTACTGTTGAAAACCTCAAATTTCATGTTGATAATTTTCTGATTTCAATATAATGTAATATCTTCTCAATATTTATTCTTCCTTTTTCCTGTCACAGAAAAAAATTGTGTATTATACACGGGAAAAATATTAGATTTTAACTCAAGGTTTTTTGTCTCCCTCTCAATAAATAACCATTGTTGTTTCAAGAAGTTCATTTTGTGCTTTAAAGGTGGTTTATTTCATGTACTAACTCACAAATTATATTCCTTCAATGCACATACTAACTGAATAATTCGAATAATATATTTTTCTATTTTTGCTTTTCTGTGGATCCTAGATATAAAAAGATGAGAATTTTGTGGAAATCTAATCTTTTTCTTGGTCCATTTATTGTGGATTTCTATCTCAGTTTCTATCTATCAGCAGCTATGTCAGAAATAAAAAAGTTACTCAATATTATCATCATTACAGTAAATTAAATATTTATTCCAATGTTCAATACCTAGTGAAGATAAATGAAATTAATAAAATAATAAGAAATAATGAACCAGAACTGAAAAGAAATCTTCTGAAATCTAAATGTTGTTATATTTGGATATAAAGAAACAATAATTCATGATTGAGCAGACAGCAGACTATTCAGCTAAACATAGTTTTTCTAATTTTGAAGAGAATTTTGACATGAAATTTGTTCATTTCAATACCAGTTATGAAATTGAAAATATGGATTGAGGAGAAGAATAAAGCATTTTACGGGAGTGAAGTTAGCCACATCCACAAAATACACCGAGAAAAATTTATCACCGAAAATGTGTTCAGCAATTTCACCCGATTTCAGATGGAACTTGAACGCATTTCATAGAACGACTGAAGAGGGGTGAGAGCCTGAGTCGAATTTGATAGGGAGGTGGTGAATCGATAGTTTATCAAGTCGTCTAAAGGGAAAGAAAAAGGGTTTGAAAACGAAAATAACTCATTATCTCAGTGAATACTCGTTGTACATGGATTTTGAAGGCGGCAAACGAATCTACTAATCGAATTTGATAGGAAGGTGGTGAACTCATAGTTTGTCAGGCCGTCAAAGGGGGTAGAAAAGGGGTTGAAAAACAAAAAAAATCAATATCTCCGTTAATATTCGTTGTACATGGATTTTGAAGGCGGCAAACGATTCTACTGATTGTATTTGATAGAAAAGTGTTGAACTCATAGTTTGTCAGGCCGTCAAAGGGGGTAGAAAAGGGGTTGAAAAACAAAAAAAATCAATATCTTCGTTAATATTCGTTGTACATGGATGTTGAAGACGGCAAACGAATCTACTAATCGAATTTGATAGGAAGGTGGTGAACTCATAGTTTGTCAGGCCGTCTAAGGGGGTAGAAAAGGGGTTGAAAAACAAAAAAAATCAATATCTTCGTTAATATTTGTTGTACATGGATTTTGAAGGCGGCAAACGATTCTACTGATTGTATTTGATACAAAAGTGTTGAACTCATAGTTTGTCAGGCCGTCAAAGGGGGTAGAAAAGGGGTTGAGAAACAAAAAAAATCAATATCTTCGTTAATATTCGTTGTACATAGATTTTGAAGGCGGCAAACGATTCTACTGATGGTATTTGATAGAAAAGTATTGAACTCATAGTTTGTCAGGCCGTCTAAGGGGGTAGAAAAGGGGTTGAACAACAAAAAAAATCAATATCTCCGTTAATAATCGTTGTCCATGGATTTTGAAGGCGACACACGATTCTACTGATTGTATTTGATAGAAAAGTGTTGAACTCATAGTTTGTCAGGCCGTCAAAGGGGGTAGAAAAGGGGTTGAAAAACAAAAAAAATCAATATCTTCGTTAATATTCGTTGTACATGGATTTTGAAAGCGGCAAACGAATCTACTAATCGAATTTGATAGGAAGGTGTTGAACTCATAGTTTGTCAGGCCGTCAAAGGGGGTAGAAAAGGGGTTGAAAAACAAAAAAGATCAATATCTTCGTTTTTAGATGTAACTCTTTAGTCTTAAGTTATTTGTGTGTTTACTTTTGTTCTATTTTAGTCACCTGTGTTGACGAATCCAATACAATTTTCAATTGTCGAATGGAAAATAAAAATATTATTATTATTATTATTATTATTATTATTAATATTTGTTGTACATGGATTTTGAAGGCGGCAAATGATTCTA